CTCGTGTAGCTTTGCGCGAAATCCATAACAAACAAACTTTGCAACTCTCTGCCGCAGGCAGACTGTTTGTCGTCGAGTGAATAATGTGCATGCGCGGTTTTTTTTGGGGGAAACATTCTAACTACGCATGCTTATGCAGCAGGTTCTCGGTCAGAAAGTGTAACGGTTGAACATACAAACAAGCAGAATAATAGTATAGATTCTTCAAATGCTTATATGAAAATAGATTGGTTACTGTGAGTAAAGAAACAGATATGTACAGCTCACAAAAATATATTTTGTTTTGTCCTGGAACGTCTAACTTAGTGTCATCCTAATACAACCTGAACAAAAACTTGGAATGTTAAGAAGAACGTTATAAATAAAGTCGAGTCTTATACACATTTCACATGCATAGATTTTTTCTTTGCTAGACAAAGCATGATTTGGAGAATAATAGCCTTTCTGCTACATATCCATGAGGCCATATAAAACTTTCTGTCATATGATGTTAATCTTTTTACACATCATATGTTTTTGAATAGCTAAACCTTAAGTTAATTTTTAAGATAAATGAAGACAGGATGTACAATTCTCTTTAGATCTATAAGTGTCATATGTTGTCATTAAATACGAAAAACAGTAAACCCAAAAACTGTAAGTTCACGTGAATCATTTTCTACCACCAACAACAAACACTGCTGAACAAACACAAAGAACTCTTAACCTACATTTCATTTATACAACTTCTGTACAAAAAGAATGCATTAACATTTCTTGAGTAAATAAATATTAAAACAATGGTTACAGCGGCGCTGTTATTCTAGTCCACAAAAAGTGTTGGCTCAGTATTCCTGTTTAAATAACTTGTTCCCGAAGCTAGAAGATTAATAATAATAATAATAAAAGAACACAATACTGTGTATTACAATTAATGAACAAAAAAACACAGTAAACGAAAAAAACAACAAAAACTTGTCAGAAGTCTGGTGTTAGAGAAACTAGTTTCGACACAATCATGCGTCCTAGGACATTGTTTTCTGTGTAATTTTCATTATCAGTTAATTGTAAGTCAAATTTTTATATCGAAAAAGTTTTTAGTTTAAAGATTTGTGTTGATATGAAGCAAATCCAGTATGAAGTTAAAATTATAAATATGCTTTATTTTGTACTTGAAAATGTATATGTATAGAATGTTGTGATGACTTGGATAATATACATTTTACCTCCAGTTTCTACTAAATATACATGTGTACATTTAATCTCCAGTCTCTCCTGATTAAATGTGTGGATGCTTATCGTAAAGCATATGTTTATCTTGGCGAAGTGATGACCAGCGAAGGTCGTCTTTCTGATCCACGCCTTATTTTCTTCCTCACCCACGACGAAATAGGACAACTCCTTAAGAATCGTTCTCCAAAGCTTATTTCCAAGTAAGTGACGTAGCACAAGCAAGGTTATTTGAAATATCGTGATTGGGCAAATAGAAAAACATTGGTTTAGGTTGTTGAGCACCTATAGGAACGTTACTGAAAGCATGGTAAACATTGCACTTAACGAACTAGCTTAACGGTTTCTGAACGATGAGTAAAGTTACTGAAAGGTAAAATGAATAAATAAATCGGTGTTAGAATGAATAATTAACTTGATGTTAATAAACCTCATAAATACATTTCTGATGATTAACGAATTAAATAAAATTTATGAAAATTAGACGTCACCAGCTGATTCTGTTAAAACCATTTTTTTTTTTTCAAGTAATCAGTGATATATAACTAGCATCACGACAACTAACCATTATGTCTGTCATATCTCAACCGGCTTGATGAGCCCTGGTATGGAGCAAGAGGCGTCATCGGCATGGATAAAACAGATATAAAGTGTTTTAAATATATCAAGATTGTTCTTTACTTCGAGATGTTCTTGCAATTACTGTGAATACTGGTATTATACATTCATGTCATAAAATCGTAAAAAAAGTCGTGCAATTTGATTTCTTAATTTTATCATTTCAATTGTAGCTCAAAACTTTAAAGATGGCAACATGTATCATTCATCTCCTCTTTCTGTTAGGGCTTTTCATCGACAACGTTTACATTCTAAAATGGACCACATGAGATTTCCAGAAATTATGAAAGGGGTTCCTAGGCCAGTGAGTTAACTTCAATGTTCTGCTATACTTTCTACTAGAAATATATTCTCGATAGCAATAAAAATAACTATCATGTTACGCTCAGTTTTATTAGCCATTTTTGTCTCTTGTTAATAGGCTTAGTAAATAGTTGTTAACGTTTGGTTCCAGATATATTGTCAATCTGAATTATTAAAATATTTCATGAATATTTCGTGCATTCAGCGACTGCTCGATTTCAATAGAGCTGCACAGTTAAGAGGGAAGAAACTCTCCGGATCAAGTGTAAATCTGGATAGTACAGACATATAAACAGTTGTGCAGTGATATAGTTATTAGTCATGTTCAGTATTCGTTTCTACTTTTTTTCAGGAGAACATTAAAAAAACTGAACGTCTAGATGCCGACAGATCGTTTCTTTGCATGAAAGGTAATATATATGTCATCGAATGTTCTAAATGTGTCTTGCTTTTCTTCCCTATTATAGCATCTATAAGTACTTCGCATGATTTGATATACTAAAAATACATGTTAAAATATATTTTTTATTATGTATCGCAACCAGTTTATATTTGCTTCTGTTATTTATATATATATTGTTGCGTCAGCGAGGTCACATGACTAGTGTCACGCCACGTTTCTAGAACTATCCTGTACCTTGGCGAATGCTCTAGCATTTACTAGATATATGGTAGTCTGGTATATAAAAAGAGGGTGACAACGTGACGGGATAAGAATGTGTGTAGGTAGTGAGTAATTAAACTGCAGTCAGAGAGAGACGTATTGTTGAAGTTCGTGGTTATAGCGTTTGTTATAGAGCGACTGTTGAAAATAAGTGTATCGGTAAAGTTATAATCGGAAAGAATAAACCAGTTTTATTAAGAAAGGACTTGTGTCGCTCAAGTTTCGTCGGAACGAAGTTACGGAAAGTTAATTAACGAAACGGAGACGTAACAATATATATATATACAACTGCATGATACAGCATAAAACAGAGAAGGTGAATGGAAAATGATCGCTAGCTTGATTTTCTCAATTTAATTAATTAAATTTCAGGAAATAAATATCTGATATCCAAGTCTAAGAAAAGGTTAAATTTGAAACCTGAAAATCTGTACATATAAACGTTGTACGTATAAAAGTTATGTTTAATTCTTGCAATATCTTTGAGCATACTCCTCTTTGAACAAAACTGTCGGATTTTAAGCTGAATTATTGGTATAATTGACTTGTGTTTGAACAAAGTTGTGATCTCTGCGCGGTACTTCTGTTAACACGTGTACCGCCTCACCTGCAACATAACATCACACGTGTATTTGTTTCAGGTACTCCAGTGAGCCAAGGGGTGGTGAAAGGACCAGCTACCGTTATCAACTTTCTGAGTGAAGCCAGTAACATCAAGGTATGTTTTCATGGGAACAAAACACTGGGAATTTGAATGGAGCTTGAGCGTGATCGACAGTTTGTACATTACAGTTTAGGATTGAAACTGTCACACATATAACTGTTGTAATGATAAGCCTTTTACTCTAACAAAAATCCCATATTTGTATATAAATTTGAAGAAGATAAGTAATTGATGCTACTAATTTATTCTTGCGAATTATTCAGACAGAAAAGATGTTTAAAAATACTAAAAAAAATACATAAGTAGCCCAACCTATCACAATTTACATTTTTGTTACTGAGTTATATCGGTTTCAGAAAATTCCGCCCCTCATCAGATACCTTGGACATGGGCAAACCGGAGGACTTTTCCCACTCTCATTTCATCCCAGCCCATCGGCCTGACGGGCTATCAGAAGGTTAAGCCCTCTCTTCGGCCATGGGATAAAACTGCAGAGTACAGTTGTTATAGATAACGGATGAGTAGGCGTAAATTTTCATTTTCTCTGTAGTGAAAAGAATTCCTACTCAGAAACTGTAAAATGATATTTGTTCAAAACTTTCTCAAATCACGTGCGAAGGGAAATAAATATCAGAAAAGAAAACATCTAAATATACGGAGAGGGATTTTTTTCATCGGGAAAACAACATATCCTGGACCACTCTGTGGAAAAGAAGACATCGTGGAGGATAAACAGAGGGATTTAGCAAGTTGACAAGCCTTACGTAAGCAAATTGGACGAACAAAACTGGGTGCCACGTAGTGTTGGAGTATATATTTTATGTATGGTGTTTTGAAATGTCTTATACAGACACAGTAATCCTATATTGATATATCAGTTTGAAAAATGTGCAGCATTGATGCTAATAATTTATCACACAAGCCATTTATAATACTAACAACTAAATGTGATGCCTAATCTATTCTTATTTTTTCAACTTGCTATTGTCCAGAGCTACTGATGAGGGGTGGAATACTCCGAAATCGGTATAACTTAGTGATAAATAGTAAATAGAATAATATACTGCGCTTCATGTTTAATCTGGGCCCGGCATAGCCAGGTGGTTAGGGCGCTCGACTCGTAATCTGTGGGTCGCCATGTTAAACACCCATAAGTAAAAAAAAAATGTTTTATTGTACAGCATGTACAACGTCCATAATTAAAGGTGCTCGTATTAGCAGCGTACACTATGAGTAACGTGTGTAATTAAAGATGCTCGTATTAGCAGCGTACAGCATGAGAAACGTCCGTAATTCTGTACGCTGCTAATACGAACATCTTCAGTTATGGACGTTGCTCATGGTGTACGCTGCTAATACGAACATCTTCTAATACGAACATCTTTAATTACTGACGTTGCTCATGCAAACTAAAAGCGCTTCCCTACACCTAACTGACACGTAATATTTTGTAAGACTTCCAAACAAAAAACATTCGAACTTGTAGGTTGAAACATCTCCTCGATTTATTTCGGATTCTATTTTTCCTGTTTTTAAAAGGCCTAACTCTGAGGATTACAGTCGTGTTCGTTGCCTTACGATAATATGGACGTTGCTTATGCTGTACGCTGCTAATACGAACATCTTCAGTTATGGACGTTGCTTATGCTGTACGCTACTTGTTCATGTATAGTTTAATGGGTTTGTGAAGGGATAATTTGAATTTGTTCGTGTATAGTTTAATGGGATAATTCTTTTTTGAGATTGTTCTAACTCATGAGATTTTTCTGTTTAAGAAATAACGTAATGAGTGGCGTGCAGGTTATAGTCGTGGAAAATAAAAACATTAAAATAGCTCAAATGAAATTAAGTTCAGTTTACTATTCAGATTTTTCCACGAACACCACCGATGAGATTGTTAAATCTAGCATTTAAGCCTGCCAGCCAGCAATTGCTAGGGCTATTTACGTGAAGTTAAATGGATTACGAAGAAAATTAGTCAATTTACACCAAAGTTAGGTGTTGTCGTATGTTTATGAAATGTCGTTGGTTTAATTTTCCTTTTCATCGTGTATAGTTTAATGGGTTTGTGAAGGGATAATTTGAAAACAAGTTCAAATGCAATATCTGTTCCACAATCTCTCACATAAGTTAACTGGTATCTCTGGTCTGGTCTGGTCTCTCCATCTCTTTCTGTATTGCTCACTGTATCACTGTCTCTTTCTGAAGCTACGAAAGTTTTCCAGAAGGTTCGATATACTACGTGTTACAATGTTAATGATATATTTCATGGAATATCAAAAGATCTTAATATGTATTAAATTATATTGTTTGTATTACTAGAACTTATTTGTTTGTTTGAGCGCAATGTTACAGAATAGGTTGTTTATATTTTGATCACATGGGCAATCGAATCCAGGATTTTGTAGTTGTAAGCTCTTAAACCCACCGATTAAATCAAACAGCTGTCCAAAACAACCAAAGTAACAAACAGTTCAGACAACTACCAATCAACGTAACGTACAGCTCAGACAACAAACAATCAGCGTAACAAACAATTCAGACAACTAACTGTAGATATTTAAAATACCTGTCTCGATTTTCCTTTCACACGTGTCACTGGCGCTACTTTGGCACGTTTGTCTTCTAAAAAAGAAAAGAAAATGGTTTAAAAGTTTAAGATTGTGGCTTGTGCACCTACATCATCCTTTAAGTTTAATCCACAGATGAGACTTGCAATTTGTGTTAAATATAAAATATGGTGTATTCCTAAACTATTTGGACCCTGTGTCGTTATTTGCGATATATATACAATAGACGGCGTATCCCTGCAAGTGTTTGGGCCCTGCGTTACCTAAACCTCTCGCACTACCACACATTTTACTACGTATTCTACTTTAAATCTTTATATATAGAGTACTGACACTGAGGTCACATTCGGGACATTCACACTTTACTGTTCCCACTGAGCAGCTCGTGACCTCATTTTATTTCTCTGTCCTATCTGTGCCAATTTTTTTTTTTTTGGTCCTGGTTTTATTTGTCTACCCTATGTGTACCTTATTTTTGGCCTGGTCGTTTTATCGAAATAATAATTTTATCAGAGACATGCAAAGGTTGTTATATAATGCTGTCTTCAGTTGTTAATTACATCTGGTTATTCCACAGTTTCAGTATGATAAAGTTTCGAAACAATACATTCATGGTAACCAAACTCACAAGGATAAGAGATTTATATTAAGTCATATAAATGTAGTTCAAGCAAATACTGTGCAGGTGCAGACTGTGTACCAGCTAGAGGCCCTGGTAAGAGTTTCTGCACTGACGTCTAAAAATCACGTGGTCTATACTGTACTCCGTCATATTCGACGTGAAGTGCTTATATTTGTCTTAGGTGAAAAAAAAAGAAGAGAAACTTGACTATTGGTTTCTTGTTATCGTTTCAACGATGTGGATAAAGTAATATATATCAATAAACTTAAGAGCAGTACGGTTTTGTATACGTTTCGTTTGAGAAAGGTAATGTTTATGCCACTAAACAGCATGTAAAGTTTTACCGAATCTTGTACTGATATGAACTGCTGTTGATTGCTGTAAGGAAGTGTTCGATGTCCAATATGGCGGCGTTGAATGAAACAGAAAGTTTTGTGACATCAGTTGAAAAAATCCGCGCGGTGGTGATTTCATTAATCATCGTGATATAGCCATGTAAAGCCGAAACTAACATTCAACATAAAATAAATGAGTTGTACAAACTTTACTTGGTTTAATTGGAAAACGGAAAATTATTCACAAAATTCATGAACAGATATAGTTGATGACAAAAATAGTATGAATATTAATGGAACAATTCTTGTCACTTGAAACAGTTTAATTAAACAGTCATGTTTACGAGTTTTCACTTTCTCATATTTTAATATGTCTCTTTTGTTAGATGATATTAAAAGGAAAGCTTCAAGATGAATGATATAATTAATAAAATACAATAATGTTAATGAAGTATTTGTGTAGTTTTATACGCGGTACTCTACAATACAGTTGTGTTCGCAATATTCAGTAATTATTTACTGCATTACTAAATAATTCCACATAATAAGGTTCATGTTTTAGGCTAAAGTTGTCAATTTGACTAGCTAATAATTCACAGCCGCTAGGAGACGGTAAAAACAGTGAAATTACTTTCAAAGGTTTTCCTAGTGGGCAGTTATCACAATTTGTGCAATTAAAAATTCATCTATATAAATAAGTTTAAGTGGATTAATATTAAATAAAACGTATTTAAGATTATAAAATTCCATTCCAGAGTTGATAAATAAATGTATTTCTAAAATAATCTTCATTTTTGGGGGGGGATCATTTGTTACTAGGCCTGTATGTATGAGGTGCAATATGACGTCATGTATTAAAAAATAAAGTTAAAATATAATTGTGCAGTTGATTACTTTTCTCCTCAAGATTAAATATCAACACCATTAGGACGTAATCAACTCACTAATCACTTGTCTCTAACTATTGAAAAGACTAACGTGACTGGTGTTGATTACCTGCACGCGCATATGACTCATGGTCGCGTATACCCGAACTAGAGTTACGTTGGTTTTGCTCTAAGTCAGACATTCCCAACCTGGGGGTACATGTACCCCCAGGGGTACATTTGCACTTCTCAGGGGGTACATAGGGGTCTGAGAGTATAACCATGGTTTACACTTTATATGTTTTAATCTACAGTCAGAC